CAGCTCTTCAGTTCGAGCGCGTTTGGTAAAAACAAGCACTCGTTTCCATATTAACTGAAATATAGCTAAACGACACACATTTAAACTAAATCTCATATAGAAAGTGTTTATGGTTGTAATTTATTTATTAAGAAAAGTAATAATATTAGTTATCATTATTATGATCATCATTATTATTATTTTATTATCATTATGTAGGATATGGTTTGTCTATTTATTTATTTATTCATTCATTTCTTTTAAATTGAAGGCAGAATTATTAGCCCCCTTTGAATTTTTTTCTCTTTTTTAAATGTTTCCCAAACGATGTTGAACAGATTCAGGAAATGTTCACAGTATGTCTGATAATATTTTTTCTTCTGGAGAAAGTCTTGTTTGTTTTATTTCGGCTAAAATGAAAGCAGTTCTTAATTTTTTAAACACCATTTTAAGGTAATATTATTCGCCCGTTTAAGCTATATATTTCTCGATAGTCTACGGAGCAAACCATCGTTATACAATAAATTACCCTAACCTGCCTAGTTAACCTAATTAACCTAGTTAAGCCTTAAAATGTCACTTTAAGAAGAGTCTTGAAGAATATTTTCTAATATTATTTACTGTCATCGTGATAAAGATAAAATAAATCAGTTATTAGAAACGAGTTATTAAAACTGTTATGATTAGAAATGTGTTGAAAAAAAAATCTGCTCTCCGTTACACAAAAAAACGGGGGGAAAATAAACTGACAATTTAGGGGGGCTAATAATTCTGACTTCAACTGTTCTTGTTTTTGCAAATGAAACTTTGGATGATTGGTGTAACAAATATGACTGATTTTCATATGTTTCATGCGCATCTTTACTTTAATTAGGACTGTTGAGCTACTTTTATAACTGCGCCTTGTGATAAACAGATCATTTCAGGTGTCCATCTTGGTACAAAACAAAGGTCAGTGTAAGTTTCTTCCAGTTTAAACAATTCAGACATGGGCAATTCCATGCAAATGTCAACCTTGCCATAAAAATAATTTAGTTTTCACCAAAATAGACAAACCGTTTCTACATTTTTTGTGTTAGCAAGTATTTTACAGTACTTTAAAAATACTCGTAAATGTATCTGTCAGTATTTCAAACTATTATTTATTTTGCCAAAATCACACAAGTGGCTATTTCACAGCTGTCACATCCATAACGGAAATGTGTCACATCCATAACGACACTTTTTCTTCATAAATGCAAACATGTCAAATAAAATAAAATCAATTATTTTAATTCGATAGTGAGCCGACTCATACCTGTTTGATGAGCATTGTGTCTTTTGGGTTGTGCAGTTTAACTGTCAGAATTTCTAAATAATCTGTTGTCGACTGTAAATTCGCAAACCTTTTTTGTCACATCCATAACGCATGTTTATTTTCCTCATTTAAAACATAAAACATGTTCACATATTGATATTTTTCTGCTCCCAGAACTCTGTGGTGAGCTGTTTTGGAAAATATAAACAGAAGTTTCGATATAATCAACATATACTTTCTGTGTGAAATTATGTTTTGAGTTTTTACTGCAAATGTCACATCCATAACACTGGAATTGCTCACTTACATTTTAGTCCGGCCTGTAGGCTTAATATAGTTCACAAAACAGCGAAAACGTACACGTTATTAGCACACACTTCCGGCCGAACACAAAAGCTGAAAACCTGCAACCATTATAGTAGGATAAACAAACAGCATGGAAGTCAATGGTTACAGGTTTCCATCATTCTTCAAAATATTAGTGTTAAACAGAAGAAAGATAGTCAAATAAGTAAAGGGTGAGTAAATGATGAAAGAATGTTCGCTTTTGGGTGAACTACTCTTATTAAATGTCTGAAAGACTATCAGATTTTGAATATCATTAGCATCATATAAGCATGAGGGAAATGGATGCTAATATCCAACGATAAATATGATTTTTTTTTTTACATTTTAGACCATATTATTTACTCATAAACATATATATGGTGTTTCCAAGTCTACCCTTCACGTTTGTTTCACACCAGCTGTGTTTCACGTGTAACGTTAATGAGACTATATGGAATGACATCAATTATAACGACTGTACACATTGAAAACACAATCAAGATACTAAAAATAACTATTAATATGCTTGAGATGCTAAACAGGATATTCCGTAAATATGTAAATACTTCATGAACATGTACAGCCAAGGCTAATCAACACAGTATAGTGCGTGCGCGCGCACACACAGTGAATGTGCATCTACAGCAGTATTTTCTACTGTATCCCATATGAGTTCAAGTGTGGTAATGTTCATTTTACTCTTAATAAGACTTCCATTGGCTTAAATCCCTGTCTTTCTCGTCATCATTTGATTTCAAATGCATTAAACTGGTTTCATTCAGCCCCTCCAGCCTTTAAATGATCCCATATTCCCCATGTTATCAATCGCAGTCAGACCTTGCATGAACGCCCGATGATCCACTCAACACAACAGCAACGCTTTAAATAACAGCTGGAATTGAAATAAACACAGACGGTGTGGATATTGTTTTCAGCCTCACCTGTGACGTGCAACCGCATCAATGAAGAAATGAGGAGCAGCGCCGCGTTCGCGAGCATCATGCCTCTCGTTAGGATTCACTGCAAACACATCATGGCTTCATGAAGATCGAGGCTGCGGCGTCTCTACGGTAAACACAGCGACTAGAGGACGTTTAACACAGTAATTCTGCATCTGCTGAGGATCACACACCCTGATGCATCTCTCCTGCGCTGACAGACCCTTAGGCGAATCGATTCGCTTGGTCTGAATCACTTCAAAGAATCGATTCAGTTCATGCTTGACGTAATTTAAACAAATTATAGAGTAAAACAGCTTTTTATTTTAAGCTCTTGGGTTAATTGTGCCTTTAATTAATGTTTTTCATTGTAATATTTGAAACAGTGCCGTTTGTTTAGTTGTTTACTCGCCCTCATCAAAGCGCAGACAGTTCAAAAGCGACTCAGTTCGAATCTACGAACCGGTTCGGGAGAATGATTCATTTGTGAAGCACAGCTAGAAAGCCAGTAGGAGGTGATAAACATAAGCTGAAAAATATGTATACTTGCCAACATAAGCAGCACACATGCAAAGCTTTTACAGGAAGCACGGAGATTTTAAAACAGCCTACTACAGACTGGCATTTTGCCAATACGTGCAAGATTTGGATTGTATCAGCTCAGTCACAAAAAAAAACCTACAAGAAAGTAGCATTTCACATGACATAAATCCGTATATTTATCATTTTTCTTTGTATTATCTGTGCATTTTGTACACCTGACAAAAGTCTTGTCATCAATTCTAGTTGTAAGAGCAACACATAATAATTCGACTTCTCGTTGATCATTTGGAAAAGTGGCAGAAGGTCGATTTTTCAGATGAATCATCTGTTGAACTGTATGCCAATCACCAAAAATACTGCAGAAGATCTACTGGAACCCACATGGAGCAAAGATTCTTACAGAAATCGGTCAAGTTTGGTGAAGGAGCAATCATGGTTTGGGGTTACATTCGGTATTGGGGCGTGCGAGAGATCTGCAACATCAACAGCCTGAGGTATCAAGACATTTGTGCTGCCCATTACATTACAAACCACAGGAGAGGGCAAATTCTCCAGCAGGATAGCGCTCCTTCTCATACTTCAGCCTCCACATTAAAGCTCCTGAAAGCAAAGAAGGTCAAGTTGCTCCAGGATTGGCCAGCCCAGTCACCAGACAGGAACATTATTGAGCATGTCTGAGGTAAGATAGAGGAGGCGTTAAAGATGAATCTAAAGAGTCTTGATGAACTCTGGGAGTCCTGCATGAACGCTTTCTTTGCTGTTCCACATGACTATATTAATCAGTGATTTGAGTCATGTCAGAGATGTATGGATGCAGTCCTCCAAGCTTATGATGGAGTCAGACACAATATTCATTCTGTCTCCACTGCAGCAGGACTTTATATTCTATACTGGACATTATTTCTGTTCAGTGTCCAAGAGTCAGACCTTACTGTCCTAATGAAATCATTCGAAATCAAGGCATGATCATATTTTATTTTGGTCAAATAAGCGTCATCTAGAGGCCTTTGCCTTTCATATTAGCCACTTCTGATAGCAAATAATCAACAAGAAGTCAAGTCATTGTTTGTTCCTAAAACTTAGAAAGACAACAAGACTTTTGTCATGTATATAGCCTATAGACCTACCCAAAGTACTACTGTCATGACTGTGTTTTGTCCACAAGATGCCACTGTAGTTCGCCAGCTACTCCCAGCAAACTACAGTGGCTTAGAACTACATTTCCATACATTCTTTCATGCACACACCCGGTCTGTCATCTACACTGATTGCAATCACAGCTGTCTCTGTTTCCCCGTTGATTACCTGGACTTTATATTCAACCATTCCACCTCTGTCAGTTCGTCGTTTGTCTATATCGGTATGTTTGTTCATGGTTCCAGTCTGTATCCTGCTATTCTTGTTAAGATCTAGTTCGAGTTTTATCTGTTTGAGTTCCTGGTTTGTTTGTTTTGTTTGTTACTTTGGATTTTTGTCACTACCTTGTAGTGGTGGGCAAAGCGAGGCTTCGTGAAACACTGAAACTATCGAAGCAAATGTGTCGAAGCTTCGAAACGTTTCGAAACACCACTCTACGGTGACACCTAGTGGTCATTTTATTTGTATTGCACTGAAGCAGCTTCAGCAAAGAACAGTTGAGCAAATTGAGGTATGAAACCCCACTTTGTAGCCTTGATTCAGTGAATGGTTTAGTCGAGCGGTTAGAGTTCGTGACCGCCATGTGGGAATAATGAGTTCGAATCCAGACTGATATAGTTATTTTGAAATGCTTTAATGCCAGTTGGTAATGCTTTGTTATTGTGTCGTTTTGTTTCAACATTGCTCTGACATACGAATAAACACCTTGTACATAAATTTGTATTGTTTTGTTCATAAAACTGGGTTGTTGCTAGATCAGGGGCCTGTTTCAGTAAGGAGGTTCAAACAACTCAGAGTTTAAACTTGAACTCTGAGTTGATTTACCGAGAGATTAAAAACTCTGAGTTTTCGGTTTCAGAACAGCTGATCTGAGTTGGGTCGATCAACTTCGAGTAGACCAACTCAGAGTTAAGCGCGCACACCGTGACTTTAAAAAGGCATTATCAATGGAGCGCAGACATTACGAGTGACTATGGCAATATCTTATAAAAGAGATCAGCATTTCTTTCTCCGGCTGAACTTGATGTTCTCATGCAAAGTTATAGCAAATATGAGTGTGTATATTTGAAAAGAAGCAACCATCAGTGAAGAAGAGACATTTAGCGTGGAAAACAGCTGCTCAAGTTAATGCCTAATTTCACTTTTTAAGTATTTAAATATTTAAGTATAATAAAATAAGTAATGTAATGTGTGACGTTTATATATTTTTTTTCTAAACTTTTTTTTTATACATTTATTAGTTTTAAATGATTTAACAGTGCACTTGTGTGTCTGCCTTTTTTATTGATCAAGTGATAGAGGTTAATACAACATTTAGAAGGTAAGCAGTAATAAAAATTAGATTAAATTTTAGAAAGAATAATAATCCCATTAATCTAGTTACAGTGCATGTCGAAGGTGAATTTAATTTAATTATTTATTAAAAAGGGATAAGCCATTCTAGTACAGTTCTTCTGTGTGTGACTAAAATGTAGGCAATAGCTATGTTTCCATCCAAATATATTACATAAATGTATGTGCAAAACTGGAATATTGCATAAAAGATGCGAATAAAATTCCATCCAACGAGTCAAAGAGAAAAAAAATCGTCACTTCCTGATTAAACTGGCACCAAATATCAACAGTAAAAACAGAATTTACTGTGGTAGAAGAAGCTGCGTCAATTAATTCTTTATTTAGCCTAATTAATGTACTTGCGCCTCAATGTCAGAAGACAACGCTGAAACACAATGAACACGTGGGGGCGTCTGAAGCCATGAGACGCGGAGACTCTTGACACGCACCAGACGTTCGGAGGTAATTAATAATATACACTAATACTGAAACAGTTAAGGCATTTTAGAATGACTAAAACAATATTTAAGACATGTTACAGTGTGCTCAGCCTGCTGGTTTGTCCATTTACACACATTTTCATTGTCATATGATCATGATCTTTTTTTTAATGTACATACTGTAATTTGTTCAGTAAAAGTGTTTCCATCGTAGTTTATGCGCACATTTTCTATCGAATAAAAGTGTATCCTACTCAGTTATGCGCGTTTTTATGCATATTTTAAAAAGTTATGTGCATCATGACGTTTCCATCAATCGTTTTTATGCACGTATCCAAAATGAGCATTAAAATAGGTGGGTGGAAACGCAAGGCTAAGGCGAGAAATACCGCTTCATCTTTAAAAAAGGGGAGGAGACCGACAGAAACTCAGAGTTTAGAGAATAAAACCTGCTTCTGACCAGGTTAGATTCACAGAGTAAGTTACCACAGTAACTGACTCTGAGTTAAAGTTACCTCTCTTTCAGAAACAGGCTTGACTTACCCTGCTTTCTCGAGTTTAACAAACCTGCCGTTTTGAAACGGAAAACCCAGAGTTTCTCTTATTTCAGGGTTAAAATACTCTTAACCTCTTAATCCTTTCTGAAACAGGCCCCAGATACAGTTGTGGCCAGAAATTAACAATAATTATTTATATTATTAATTAAATTAATTAAATTTCCCATTGTATTTTATTAACGTCTATCCAAAACCTAAACCCATCACAGCACTGTAAAAATATGAATTGTTGTTTTACAGTGTTTCAAAAATGATGCTAAATTGATGGTATATCCGCAGCTGTATCCGATCTAGGCTTCACCATAAAACAGTAACATGATTAAAATACATAAAATCATGATTTTGGAGTATTTGGACTAGTCAGGATTCGAACCCAAAACAAATTTGAAACACAGTACTTTAGTGCACACGCACGGTCCACTAGGCCATACAAGACACAATCGACAACTTGATCATGACAGTCAAATGCAGATTCTGCGGGTCTTGAAACGCCTCTGAAATGATCGATGCTTTGAATCGCTTTAGTCACGTGACCAAGTGTTTCGAAACACTTTAGTCACGTGACCTGGGTGTTTCGGATCATGCTTCCGTGCAGTGTTTCGAAACACTTGCGCTTCGGGATCTCGACACTGTGTCGAAACGTCAGTTTCACGTCAGCCATCCTTACTTCTCTGCACAATAATATATTAAACTGCACTTGGATTCTACTCCCGTTATTTTGTTTCTGTTTTGATCATGCTAACGTGACAACTACACAATAACCACATAATTTTGTGTTGTACATTTTGATGGTTTACCGCATGAAATACCGCAGGTTATTTTTGTAAGAGTGAATTTTAATGTCAAAAGATTGGCATCAAAAATATGGTGTGTAAAATGTTTTGCACAACTACCCAGCAGGCACCTTGACGTCAAACTGACACCAAAACGACATGTCGAAAATGTAAATCGATGTGATGTCAGAACCTTGACGTCCATGTGACATCCACACATTGAAACGTTTGACCACCAAAGTAACAACACAAACAGTATTACAGACTATTTCAATGTTGTCATATCACTGGCGCATTAACTTTTCCTGCTTGTTATCAAACTATTTCATTATTATATTAGCATACTATTAGATTAGTATTTCATTAGTATTATAACTATAACAAGTGGCAATTCAATCATAACTTAATGGTAAAACAGCTATCATAGCAAACATTTATTAGTATGTGGCTCTTTCTGGATTCTC